CCTATCAAACCTACACTGGAAAGCAATAAAGTTAAAATGTACTCACAGAATTAATAGAAGCAACTTTATTTTTTTTTAATTAAAGAAACAAATACAGATAAATAACATTTAAGCCGCAACACCAATCAGCTACCTGGTTTCCTTGAATCTAAACACAGGCTGCACATAAAGTAAATATAAAGGTACTTTCACTTCCTTCACCAGCTGTAACAAAACTGAGAGAAGCTGTAGCAATATTCAATCAAGAAAGGGACAGGTGTGAACCAGCAGTCACTACTGGCAGCCAGAAGGCACTAACGGAAGCGCATGGACAGTGAGGCTGACTACGGAGCACCCTGGTCACTGGCTCCGCCCGTGCGGGCTCCCGGCAAGGCCATGAGCTTAACTTAAGTTTCCAGCCGTCACCACAGGCGAGCCTTCCGGCAGCATCCCCCTAGAGGAGTCGAGGCTGCGCTGACATACTGAGAAATGACCAGGCCGGCCCAGAATCCGCAACACAAGCGGGATGCTCTCCTTCATCCATGGCACTAGGGACACGGTGAATTTACCAAGACAGAGAAACGGAAGCCTCCAATGAGGCTATGGTTGTCTACTGTCAGCTTGTGCTGTTGCCAAAAATCACTGAAATATGCATGTCCCTTATTACAGAGCTCTCTGACTGCCAACTGTCTTGAACTGGCAGGGGTGGCCGGGATTATCCCGGGCAACGATCACAGTGTGGTGCTCTTCTGAGTCCCACACTGGGAGGGATCTGAGACCGCTGTGTGTTGTCTTGACTTGCTCTTCAGTTGCTTTATTTCTTCAAACATGCTGTGTATCCAAGTAACCAAACAAAACTTAAAAAGTCATTACACACGCTGAGGGTAACAGTTTAAGTCAAGAGCTTCAGACTATGATACTCCTCTAGAAAGCAAAGTTCACAAAATGGGCAAAGATGCTGATACATCAAACATTTTTGTTTATTTCTGAATAAAAGACTATATACCAATGGTTAAGGATGTTAATTATCACATAAACGGGGTGCCTAACCCAAACCAAAAAAAAAAAAAACTACATTGTATCCTTTATAAAGGATCTGAGATGGAAACAGAAACAAGAACACCAATTCTCACCTCCCCCACCCCCGCCCCCGTAGAGGCGCATGGCCATTCCCAGCGTCACTCCCAGCCCTGGGGGGCGCTGGGAAGGGGACGCTCTCATGTCTGGACTGCGCGAGCGGCGGCACGGGCCCAGCGCCAGCCGCGCCGATTCCCTGTGTGGAGCCGCGGCTTAGCTCTGTTAGTCGTCAAAGTAGCTGAACACTGCAGTCTCTTAACAGGGGAAGAGTGAGACAAAAAGCATCCCAAATGAACAGAAGTGGCCTTCGTGGAGGAAAATGGGTTTGCAGCCCTGAATTAACTCAACCAAGTCTAACCAAGTCTAACCAAGTGTGAAAGTCAAAAGATTACTTCTCATGTAACCCAGCTCCACACCCAACTAGTACAAAGGGGCTTCTCTCTATGCCGATGGATCAGTCCAACTTTTTACCTTTAATTATTGCAAGAACAAGGCTTTTTGGCAACAGAATCCCATTCCTCTCTGTACTGTGGTACCATCATTTCAAAGGAACTCATGAATTTTAACTACCACCGTCTCCCTTAATTTTTTTAAAAAAGTAGTGTTGAGGAAAAAAACACACTGAATTAGGCCTTTATTACTAGTAAACACAAAGTCTGAGAAAATTATTTTTGAAAATAAGTTTAAACTAATAGAAATTTGATAGTAAACATTTCTATAATTAAAGAGTCATCATTTGGATACAAGTTTTCCCCCCAGGGGCAAAGCAGCCCTTCCGCACACTGCAGCAGTGAGCCTGAAAATGAACTAAGCCAGCAAAAGGCCGACACGGGAATCTGGTACGTGCTGAGAGAACAGCTGAAGAATTAAAGTGGTGTGAAGGAAGAGAAATCAAGGGGAAAGACCAGTCTCTCTGAACGGCAGGTGGGTGTACACGCGCACAGAAATACACCCTTATTAGCAAAGTCTACGCCGGCTAACGCCGACCCTGACATGACTTAAGCAATGTAACACCCAGCTAATAAGAAACTTGATGAATACTGAAGTCTAAAAGCACTTTTCTACTAAAATACCACTTCAAATATGAGTCATTGTAACCTCAGATGTGTTAAAAAACTCATACTTCACAACACTTAACATCAAACCAGGGTTTAACAGGCCGGACCCTGCTCCTCGGTGCCCTAACCTACCGGGGCAGGGCGGAGAGCGGCGGAGAGCCCAGGCGCCCCTGCGAGTCCCAGAGCTCAGCGAACGCAGCCCTGCGTCTGCGCGCCTGTCCCCTGCCAACTCGCTCGCTCCGCATCGCCCGGGTCCTTCTCAGCCTCTAGCTCACGAGCTCTTCAGATTCCGTGGGAGAGTTTTGGCCGGGCAGTCCCTGTGATCACGCACTTGCACAGGACTGGTCTCTACACACCTTAACGCAAACCGAGGGAATGGTGAGGCTGTCCCCACGAGATACCCATGTGGTCCTTTCCAGTTGTACCTCAGGTGGAAGGGACATGGGAGTAAAGCAGAAGGTAAGCAAGGGGCAGGATTCTGCCCGGTGGGGCCACTGACAGGCCCAACCTTTTAACAGCCAGTAACAGAGCCAGTCTGGAGGATGGTCGAGAAGGAGACTAACCCACAGGCTACCGTCTGTGATACTCCAAGCAGAGGGGAAGGGCCACAAGCCCAGTGCAGGGAAGGGACCGACGGGCTGTGAAAAGCAGAGACAGAGACACCGAGAGCCCCAGACAAGGCTGTGCAGCCCAGCCCTCCCCACGCCCACTTAACCTCAGGTTACAAAAATGAGTTAGAACCTCTCCGCCCAAGTCCTAAAATGTGGAGTTTCACTCAGTGATAGGTCCCTGCTAATCACTAGAGGTACCACCATCCTTGAGCGGGAAGACAACGGACCCTCAGCTCCTTGGGAGAGCGGAGCTGCAGAACATGGGCCGGAGGACAGGCACTTGGATGCTTTTCTAGCCTAAGACTGGGGTGACCGAGGATCTCACCAGGCAAGAAGAGCCCACAGGGGAAACGAGACTGGCTCCGGTGCTGAAAGCTGCTTGCTGTCTTGGGGTGGCAGGAGAAAAAAAATTTTAGATCAACAGAGAAATCAGAGGTCCCCTGAAGGAGCCAGTAATTCTTCTGCACACCAGAGCAATAAGGTCTTCTCATCGCATCTTGAGACGAGGGTTGCCTGAAAGGACAAAAGTCAGAGCTGGGGACACCATTAACAGCAGGTAAGACGGCATTTTCTCCATCTTTGAAGCCCCGTGGCCTCCCTTCATTCTGACTCTTAACTATTCTAGTCACTAGTACTTAGTCGATTCTGAACCTTAGCTCGAGCCAATATAAAAATGTATACATGTTAATGCCTAGAGATTCATGTCATGACTTAGGGCTCACCGAGGCGGTGCGGAGAATGGACGCTCTGCTAGCTTAGGGGGCTCCGCACGCTGACAGCGTCCCGTGAGCGGCCGTTCTGTGAAACACAGACTGAAGAACGAGCCCCTGAAACGAAGATGCAGCCAGCAAGCCACACACTTTCAAGCACGTTATCTGTTACTGGGAAGCAATAAGGACAAGCTTCAGGGACTTCAGTCTAAATAAAGTGATGTTTATACTGCTAAGAATAAACAATCCTAATGGATATGCTAATATGTCATTCCTTATTTACAGGCATTATTACTCTAAACTTTGACCTACTGCTATATACACACACACAGACACAAGAGGATGTACTTTACATATTATACTAAGACAGCAGCAGAGAGAAGACAGGGGGACCCTAACAGTCCAAACTATGAGGACTCAACATAAAAAGGGGGGAGGGATCTACATAAACACCACCTATTCGTTGATGCTGCAAATAAAAAGGGTAAGAAGGCTGCCCAGCCAGGACGCCAGCCCTCACTGTGGGAGTGCGCAGCGACGTACTCCAGGAGATTCTAACTCCTACAACCCAATGCCAATTTGAAAAATCGAAGATCCTATTATTTCCCCAAATATTGCAAGGTTGTCTCAAAGGAGGAACAGCTCTTTGAGGAAGGAACAAACCACAAGCAAACCATGCGTCCAGAGCTGGACACTGGTTATCTGTTCTTCCCAGTGGACTCTGTGACCCTGAACATGTCATAGCCTCAGCTTCTATACAAGAAAAGGATGGTCCTATTTATTTGGCCCCCAACTTACAAATTGAGGAAAAAAAAAAAAAAACCTCTACAAGGCACACTAAGCTCTCAAAAATCATGCTAGTCATACATGAATTATTTTTTCATCTACAGACTCAGTCCATCAGAAAGCTTCCTGGAAGAGGAAAGACATTATGCTATCTGGTAATTTCTAAAATCAACTTTGGACTGATCAAGTCCACCAGTAATTAATGAAACTGGTTTATAGAATATACAAAAATTTTAAAGTCATTAGGACTGAGTTTTGATTCAAAATCTACAAAAGTACCTAAAAAGTAATAATTTTCCCTAAACAATAAAAGCTTAATAAAATCATGCATTTTAAAAAGTATCAGAATATGGAAAAGTCAAAGAAAGTAGATACACAGTCTCCTTCACCTGTCATGGAGTTCTGAGAAAGGATGGCGTGGCGCGCACACAAATACAGAACGTGCAGCGAGCAGAGCTTCGCTGGAGCACACCGCCAGTGCCCTCTTCTCGCGAAGCGCCAGCGGCCTGTGGAACTGACTCCCACCTGTGACGGCTGCAGCTGTGGACCAAGCCGCATCGAGAGAGAGGGTCCTGTCCCACGAGTTCTGCCATGTCCTCCACGGGGCCCCCCCGCCAAACCCAGGTGCACCTGTTCCTGGCACCTCTGAACACGCTGTCCTTTCTGCAGAAAACCTATCCTGACAACCCACCCAGGAGAGAGCACGCACTCCGAGTTTCCTGTTCCTGATGGCCACTCGGCACTGAAACACCCTAATGCTCTCAGTCACTTAACTTTTTCAGCAAAAACTTACAGGCCAGGTACAGATGGCAAGTCTTTTGAAAAGGTATGTCAGAAAAATAACTTTATCAAGGGTCCAATATGATCTCAGAATTGAATTTTCTCTAAAAACTCAACCTCAATAGATCACGACCTAATCAAGCAGGGCCGCCCAGAGCCACGGCAGTGTTGATTTGTCTTCAAACATCTGGACGTCTCCTGCACCTGGAGCTGCGTGGGAAGGCATCTGGCCAAGAGAGAATGTTGCAAAGTGGCAAGAACACATCCAGAGAATCAGTGGAGTCTGAGCAATCACCTGTGTAGCCTACGTTGATTAACACCACTTAGAGGCTGCTAATTCCCAAACTATATAAAAAACCTTAATTTGGTCAATAAATGTAAAGATCATCAGCAATGTTTATTTCATCTCCCCCCCGCCCCACAGTCATTGAACAATACAATCATGACATGTAACTTTATAGAGACAGACTTGGTGGTCACTTGAGTATGGTTCACTAAAACTTCAAAAGTAGGAAAAAAGGAACTGGAACAAACTTTTCCCCAACATTGCATATACTGGTGGTACAAGAACAGCTACAGAAAGACATTCTCCCTTTCTTTTGGCAATCGGAATCCACAGGCTCATGCTAACAAAAGGGACCTGGCACTAACTAACGCATCCTGAAACAAGCACCTCACCAGCACGTGAGTTAGGTTTTCAGTACATAATCAATTATACAATGTCTACAAATTCAGTTCTTTTTAAATGGTAGGAGGGATTACAGAGACAGAAAAAACTCTGAAACAAGCACGTCCTCTACTTCGGTTGAGAAGGCCTACCACCATTTGGCAGTGCAGATGGTGTGCTGTTGGAGATACCTTAGCATATACTCTGCTCTATGTGTTCTATGAGAATAATTGGTCTCACTTTGGTATGAAAAATTTTAAACCACATTTGCACAATTCAGTCTGTTAAACAAGTTTTGCTTCATTTAGGTTGAAAAGTTACTTTTATCCATCTCTGGGAAAATAAAGTCTTGCAAATAGAAGATGTTCTGCTACGTAAAATTTGGCTACAACCTACAGCGTAAACAATGCCTGAGAGATGCAACAGTTACGTAAGTTTGTTTGTTTTCTTTTTTCCAAAGACCAGTATTTTCTTAAGTTAGTGTTTCATCATATCCTTAAAAGTTCATAAGGAGAAATAAACAAACATGAAAATTCCAAGTGAACACACAGCAAAAAGTCCAATATTCAGTATTAGCTTCACTCGCGGAGGCTCTTCCAGCATCTGTAAACAAACGGCCTCCTCCTCCATCAGGTCTCTGAGACTCCTCTTGCTGAGGCTCTTGCTTTTAAAGCCACAGAACCAATCTATATACTTCCAATACCGGCCTCCCTCCTCTGCCTCTTTCTTTCTCTCTTTCTCACCCATGAGGGCTGCTTGCCCATTGGAATACGCATCTACTGGTGTTTCTGCCTCCGAATGACCTAAGGAGGCCACTGGGTTGCCCTCCTCTCTGCAGGTCACCAAGAGGTTAACATCTTCAGGCTGAAGGCCCTTGATGCTGTCTTCGGATTTCCCGTTGGGTATGACATGGTTGACGGCCTCACTGTTCTCACCGCATCGCAGCATGCTCTTCTCCTGCATCTTGTACGGCTCATCTTTTGGGGAGCAGCTCTCCTTCACCACCAGGCTCTTCCTAGACCAGAAGGTGGTGGTACGAATCTGTTCCTTCGTGGGAGGTGGTGTGAGGAGGCTAACAATTACCGTGACAAGTCCTGTGACCCAAAACAATGCTGTGGCCACATACATGTAATGAATGTCTTTGATAAAGCCTGGCCTGTCATCAGGCTGGTCACATTCTGGGGCCCGGTACGCAAAGGCTAGTGTCAAACGGACTACTCCGAGGACAAAGCCAGCCATTCCACCATAGAATGCCCCTTGTTCATTGCAGCGCTTCCAGAAAATTGCCAGAAGGAACAGGGCCGCAATGGGGGGAGTCAGGTAATCTGCCACCTCCTGGATGTAAAGGTACATCTGGCCGCCTTGCATCTCCACGATGATTGGCACCCACGCAATGCTGATCACCACCATGAAAGCCACAAATATCCGCCCTACAATCATGAGCTCCCGGGAGCTTGCGCTCTTGCGGACAAGCTTGTACACATCGAGGGTGAATATGGTGCTGGCGCTGTTGAAGATCGAGTCCAGGTCGCTCATCAGTGCCGCGATCATCACCGCCATCATCAGGCCCCGGAGGCCCACAGGGACCAGCTTCATGACCAGCCGCGGGTAAGCGATGTTAGAGCAGCCGGCTCTGCTGCCGCACACATGCATGCAGTGCTCTGGGTTGATGCAAGCGATATCGTCAGCAAACAGTATCCGGGAGATCATCCCCGGGACCACAATGATAAACATCGGCAGGAGCTTCAAGAAGCCGGCCATCAGAGTAGAGCCTTTGGCGTGCGCGATGTTCTTGGCTGCAAGCACCCGCTGCACGATGACCTGGTCGGCACACCAGTACCACACTGAGGCTGGGGTCTGCCCGAGAATGAACCCCGGCCAGGGAACGTCTTCGTCTGTTGGGTTCCGCAGCATTTTCAGTGCGTCTTCCTTAGGGTGGACATTGCAAGAATTGGTGTTGGAAAGGTTGTATGTCAACAAGATGGAAGTGACATTGGGCGAAGCCAACATGTACCTTCTCTTAACTTCCTCAAACCCGCCAATCTCCATCATGCTAATAATCATAAGCGTGAGCGCCCCAACGATCATGAGCAGAGCCTGCAGAGTGTCTGTGTAGATCACTGCCACAAGGCCTCCGGTGACAGTCAGCAAAGCAGTCATGCCAATGAGCAGGATGACAGACACATAAAGGTTCCAACCCAAAGACTCCTGGATAAAGAGCGCACCTGAATACAGGTCCACTGAGAGCTTGGTGAAGATATAGAGAATCAGAGACAAGGCTGCAAAATAGACCTGAATCCTATGGCCACCGAACCGCTTGGACAAGTATTCAGGCATGGTGTATACCCCCGACCGGATGTAAATGGGGATAAAAACCCATCCCAGCAGTTGCAAAAGGAGTAAGGCATTGAATTCCCATGCGCCTACTGCAAATCCACTTGCAGCTCCAGATCCTGCCAGCCCAATGAAGTGCTCACTCCCAATGTTGCTCACAAACAGAGAGGCACCAATTGCTACCCAGGTCATAGAGCGCCCAGCCAGGAAGTATCCACTCACGGTGCTTCTATTAGATTTCCACATGGCAAAAAAGCCAATGCACATGACCAGGATAAAGTACAGGGCCACTATGGCAATGTCTGCTGTCTCCAGTACAGCCCTCATTTTGGTAACTTTGTGAATAAAGGTGTCCAATGACAGAAGCGTCCAACTTTTTATTTACTCATTAGTAACCCAGCCAAGTCTGTAAACCATACGTGAACTGGACTACACAGAGCAACAGAGCAGGTCAAGTCTTTGTCCTTTGGTTTGCTGTCTTGATGGTGGTGGCTGTGATAAACTTTGAAGGAGACAGTTTAAATTTTCCTCCGCTTCTTAATTGGAATTGAGAACTTAGCTCGTACTCTTAATCCACTCTCCACAAGACCATCAGCATTTACTCAGGTGCTGGAGGAGAAATTCTGAGTTGCAGCTAAGTCTAGTGAAGCCTACTGTACCAACCCTGCAAGGCAGCAAAGACAAAAGACAAAGATTGAATTAGAGGGAGCTCTCACCAAGCCATGAGGAAATGTTCAGTCTAGCAAAACGGCACAAGACATTCTTTATAAAAAGGAAAAAAAAAACTTTTAAAATATACTTCATTTCCACAGGAAAGCGCAATTCGTACTATCACAGCTGATGCTTAAGGTCAGTGAAAATATTTATCATTTTGAACTAAGAACAAAGATTTATCAACCTCATAATGACAGGGCCTGACTTCTCTGGCAACTAAGAATCGCCCCCCACGACACCGCCCTTGCCTGTCTCGCTGCGGCCGTCTCAGACCGCAGCGGGCGCCAAGGTCTTCAGACACCTTAAAAAGGGGGAAGAACACCAGTTCATGAAGAGCACCGCGGGGGTCTTCACCCGGCATGAGCCCCAAGAGTAACATGATGGCCAGCGAAGTTGCTCGATGAACAAGTAGGTGGTGTTTCTGAGGTGTTACCATCTAGCCCCGAACAGAAAAGAAGGTGTTGCTTACTCTATGCAAATCTGATGTTACAAAATCTCCCTGGATTCCTACTAAAAATGTCCATCTGTACTAATTATCATACAGGAACCTAGACATTGTGAGACGGCTCCTGTGCTGAGGGGAGAAAAGACATTCCACACACACACACACACACACACACACACACACACACAGTGGAACATACAACTCATAAAACCACCCTGTGTTTCATTCTTCTGACCGCTAGAAGAAGACATTGAATGATTAAAACAAAATGTTCAAAGAGGTAATTTCCTTCCCTTCCTGTTCATCGGGCAATTATTTCCAAGAGGCTCTGAGAGGATAAAAGCACCGACGCAGGTCTGACTGTGTTGAGTATTTTTCCTTTTTCATGCTTTCCTGTTGAAAGGTAGAGAAAGCTGGGAGAGGAGGGGGGAGGAGAAAGTTTTCTGGAAGACTGAAAAGTAATTTGATGTTTAGAACACCTTCCAAACCTCAACAAAACAGACATTTGTCAACCGTTAGATAATAAGGCATCTTCAGTCAGTGAATCAGGTATTTTTCAGTCTGGATTAAGGTAATCACCCTGCAAAACACATTTAAATTTACCTAAAATCAAGTCTGTGGATTTGATGGTTTTTCTCCTGGAAAAGAGACAAATTCTGAATCTTCAAAGTTAATTATAAGTGTAGCCGACAGATCAACATGCGAAACGCTGCTAATCAAACTAATGTCTTCCACATAGGGCAACCTCAGAGTGAAACGTTTTTCTATGCTTGACAAAGCACATGCTTTTTGATGAGTCTAGGCATTTTTCTTTAAAAATCAGTAGCAACTTTAAGTCCTCTAAATGATAGTAAAGCTACCTCTTTTCAAAATTGTTCAACAGAGACCACAGTACTAAAAATTAAAACACACACTTTTCACTGGCTAGGAATGCAGCTGAAAATACCGCCTCAATTTCAATGCCCTGCCAAATTAGCTTTATATGTGTAATTCATAAAGCTGCCTAGATAGAAATGTCTCAGCCCACCTTTAAGCCTTTCTCAGGCATAAAGCACTACAATAATTATACAAAGAAATAATAAAAATCCTTCCTCTTAAAAGCCAGTGTCAACGACTGGCGTTAAGAAAGCTGCCAGACACTACAAGTTGGGATTTGTATCACTTTATACTTGCCAAATCCTGAAGGTGATCACATTTCTATGTCTATTCCCCACCCCCCAAAAAACACTTCCTGGTTATTAAAAAAAAAAAAAAAAACTTGGACACTTTTCTGGAAGAACCACCTAAATCTACAATGAAGTCTAATCAGATGACCCAAGAACATCACCGAAAAGGGCGTCCTTCCTGCTTCAGGGCACGGCCAGGCCCTGCATCGCCATGGCGGCCACAGCTTATGAAACCCCGCCTTCAGCAGCGCTCTCGGGCCTGTGACCCAAAGCCCTCACTGGCCCTTTCAGGTGTCACTCTTCCCAACGGCAGTGGCAGACCGTGTGCTTCCCCGAGAAGGGACGAACACCCAGAGCGGTTTGTTTGGAGGAGGGCAGGGTGGGATATGTGTTGTAGCAGCAACTTTTTGTTAGAGACGAAACAGGCACTTCCTTTCCTGGTCACTGCGAAGCACCCTACTATCAGTCACATTGTTGTTCGGGGTCAAGCATCTTAGCCTTATCCTGCTCCCCGGTCAACGCTGCCACTAGCGTGTTCCCGCGCCTGGCCCACCCTCTCCGGCTTCTCCGGAGCAAGTGGGGGAGAGACCCCCTACCCCCAGGAGGGCAGCAGGGAGGGACGGCGCACCCGCAGAAGGCCAGCGAACCGCTGCTCTGCACCTCTGCCTCCTCAAAGGTGCTGCGGGATGCACATCTGCACGCCGTGCAGTTTGGGGGCAGGTTTAAGGGTTTTCGATTTAAACAAAAACCGTCCAGAGACCAGCACCTGGTAAAGACTGAAAAAACAAAACAAAACCAAAAATAGGTCAATTTAGTTTGTAGAAAAATATAAAATACTGTAAAATATTTCAAATTCTGAACGTCAGACCTTTAGGAGATGAATTGTGCATTCCTTAAAAAGTATTCCAAATAAAATATACAGTATGTTTTAAATACTTTTCTCTTTGTTTTAAAGCAGCAAACATTTCAACAACAACAACAGTTGTCCCTAGGCACCCAGGGCGTGGATGGCTTCCAGGACTAACACGCAAGTCCCCTCCATGAAGTGTGGCATATTTGCATATTGCCTACGTTTGCAGCAAAGGCTACTGCAGGGTGTGCCAACCGATGGCTTTATTCCTGGGGATGCAGCACCGTGCTCTTGGCATGGCAAACTCAGGTTTTGCTTTTTGGAACTTTCTGGGATATTTCCCCCCCAAAGTATTTCCAAACTGTGGTTGGCTGAGTCGTCAATGCAAAACCTGTAGATACGGAGGGTTGGCTGGATAACAAACATTATCCAAAGACCGTTTATTTTTAGGAAGAATATACACAGAAAACTTTTTCTCTTCACCTAAAATGAAGCTTTTTTTTAACTTTCTTTCTAGGACTACACTGGTTCACAATGCAATCAAGCCTCTTTGGTGAGACACAGGGGACATGGGTATAGCACTTAGATGTGTGGGTTGGCTCCTTCGTAGCACATTTTTAAGAAAACAATTATTTCAATAATAAGAGTGGTATTTGTAGAATGGATAAAGAAATGGTCCCCTAGTGGCAATGGAGAGAATAGACTTCACCAAATCTCAAACACAAGGGAATGTGGAACCAGTAAACTCCCATCCACCCACAAAAGAGGGGCTTCCTTCTCAAAAAGTAACATTTTACTGATAATTTTCCACAACATTGGAACATAATTTTGGTACCCTTTCAAGTACCTGGATGAATTAAATCACAACTGAAGAATTAATCCCAACTGGGAAATACACGTATTTGCTGCATTGGAACAATCAGAAAGAGGAAAACAGGTGACCGAATTTATATCAGTTATTAAACTCCTTCAGATAATAGAATCAAATTATAATTAGTAATAATGACCAAATCCAACGTCTTTCTCCTAATATCTAGGTCAGCCACTTAACACAGCGACCCTAAAAGTGACCCCGCAGCCCTTGTGGCTTTGGAGGTGATCTGAAAACCTCACGCTCAAAGGAGAGGCTGAACAGGCTCGGCCCAGCGCTGTCCCAGGCAGGCCACCGCGCCTCGCTCACACTCTGCCCCCGTGAACAACGCACACTGCGCCAGCGGGCCGCATCAGGGCCGCACACACCTCCGAAGCCTCGTCCGAGCAGGTGGCACCGTCGGGAAGGCAGGGGGCCTCCGGGGGGCGGGGAGCCCCGCCTGCCACTGCCAGACAGCAGCGCTGTAGCCCAGCGGCAGTCCGTGAGCCCCAACCATCTCTCTTGTAAAACCCAACCTCTGCCTTGCTCCTGATGGTTTCATTCGGAACAATTAACATGCAGAACGTACATGATATCGCCCAGTACAGTGGGCAGGTGCTCAATAAATGTCACTTCATCTTTAACTTGTAAAGGCTGCAAGTGACAATATCGGCTTCTTTCAAATTAAACTGTCAACCACATGCTGGGAATCCTAGGATCCTCATTACAGATTTTAAAAAGTAGGTAAAATAAGGTATTACATACACAGTTCTCCCACAAATACTCTGAAGAGGCTCCCAACCATCTCATCAACTATTTGTTCCTATTTCCATCAATTTATTCAAGTAAAATACAAAAAAATTTAAACTAATACAAAATTCCACTGAGGGACTTCTGCGCGTTTCAGTGAAGCAGATCCCACGGGCAAGGGGACAGAGGGCATGGTCCCGAGGGGTCCCCAGTGCGCACGCCTGCACTGCGGACAGGCAGGGTCATCTGGGCCACAACAGCAGCGCGCCTGATGCCACCAGTAAAGGTTCTGGCCAATTTTAAATTATAAATGGAGCTGAGAACAACACTACACAAAAACGCAGGAGGTGCCAGTCCCTAAAACGCTTAAGAGTCTCTGCCCTTATGTCCTCCCCTTTGACAAGACACTTCTATTACCCCCACAACTCCTGCTGTCCGAGGTCGTCGGCAGATCAAGGAGACTGAAGCAGCCCTTCTGGAGCTCCAGGGCCGGTCAGGCTGCCTTTGAGGGCCTCCAGGGCCTGCGTGCCCCCCGCCGGCAGCCGTGTCTCCCCAGCAGAAGGGGCTCCAGCAGCCTCGCCTCTGAGGGAGGGGAGGGTCAGCAGGGAAGGTTGCAAAACATCTCTTCAAGTAAAATTTATTCACCTAGAAAAGCTCAAACTACCAGATTCCTCATTCCACACACACATACATACACATTCCCCAAGATACACTCATTTTAACTTCCTTCTATCAATTAGAGGTTTGACTTTGTCGGCCTGTTTTTAAAGAAGTCTCAGGGAATGAAGGCCTTCGGGGTGTGGGGCCAACTCTGAAGCTGCTTTTTTGTGGGTGATACTGGATCATGAATGTGGAGCAAACTCCAATAACCTTTTTTTTGAGAGATGAA